GGGGCATTTAAAATCCCCATATCTGTCGTCCTTGACTATAGGAGCAGGTGAAGGACTATATTTGTGCATACAGAATTTCTTTAAGATCTTTTCTATGTATGCCTTGTGACAGTCCTAATACTCCTTTACTTCTATCTCGGTGAATCTCGATCCCTAGAACGAACGAAGGTTCACCAAGATCTTTCATATCAAATTTTGAGGACAAAACTTCTTTGTCTCCAGTAGTAGACTGACATCACTACTAGCAAGTAAGATATCATCCACATACAAGACAAGGAAGATAAACTTCCCATTCTTAAACTTTGTATAGACACAATTGTCCTCTACATTTTCTTTAAACCCAAAATTCTTTATTGTCTGATCAAACTTCAAGTACCACTGTCTTGAAGCTTGTTTTAATCCATAAATGAATTTCTTTAGGTGGCATCTCATTCGTTCTTCCTTCCATGACAAAACCTTTCGGTTGTGCCATGTAAACATTTTCCTCCAAGTCCTCATTGAGAAATGTCGTCTTTACATCCATCTGATGTAACTCTAAATCATAATGTGTCATTAATGCCATTATGATTCTGAAGGAATCCTTACATGAGACTAGAGAAAAGGTCTCATTGTAATCAATCCCTTCTCTTTGCGTAAATCCTTTTACCACAAGTCTCGCTTTATATCTCTCTATATTCTCTTGAGAGTCAAGTTTTGTTTTGTAGACTCATTTACAGTCTACTGTTTTGACTCCTTTAGGAATTATCTCCAAATCCCAAACTTTATTGGCATTCATAGATTTCATTTCATCTTCCATGGCCTCAAGCCACTTTGATGAATGATCACTTTTTGTGGCTTCTTCAAATGAGGTGGGATTATCCTCCATTTAAAATTCCTCAGTGTTGTACACTTCATAATCAGCAGAAATAACTGATTTTCTAACTCTTTGAGACCTTCTAGGGGCCTTCACATTTGGCACATGTTCTGTTTGAGGCTGTTGTTGCTCTCCCTCATGTGTGGCAATAGGTTCTATAAGATCCTAAAGAACAGGTTCCTCATCGTCATTCATTGTCGCCACAGGTGGGATAACAAGAGGTGCTGGCACCATAGTGTCTTGCACTATCGGTGCAGCGACAGCAGGTAATGAGAAAAATGGCTCATGAATCATTGGAGTGGGCGCATACACCCGCTTCACTTGAACGTCAATTTCTTGAGCTACCATGCTCCCCTCATCAATTCATCCTCTAGGAAGACAGCGTGTCTCATTTCCACAAACTTTGTATGTCTCTCTTGACAGTAGAAAACGAAAACCTTTTGACTTTTCTGAGTAGCCAAACAAATGACAACTTACTATTTTGGGATCTAACTTCCCAATGTTTGGGTTAAAATACTTTAGCCTCAGCAGGGCTCCCCCACACACACGCAAGTGGTTTAGTGAGGGTACTCTTTCTGTCCACAACTCATACGGTGTTTTGGACACCGACTTTCTTGATACTCTATTGAGAATATGAATGGCGATTTTAACGCCTCCATCCACAGGCTCAACTATAAGGTGGAGTAACTTATCATACTGCCCACCATATCCATCAAGGTACGATTGATTCTTTTAGCTACTCTATTCTGCTGAGGTTCGCCCGGTGTAGAATACTAGGCTACTATACCATTCTTTTAGGGTATGCCGACCGTAATACTCTCCCACGGTCAGACTTGACTATCTTAATCTTTAATATCTTAAATTTATCCAATGCTTCTGTTCTTTCTTTGATTGGATAAATATAGTCATAATGGAAGTAATTATTTGTGAATGTTATGAACGAATCATAACTATCCACACTCTTTACAAGAAAATGACCATAGATGTCTGTGTGAATAATCTATAAAATTCCTACGCTTCATTTGCCATCTTTCTTTACATACTTTCTTTTTATGCATTCTCTGCATTGTTCTAAATCTCTAAATCTGAGAGCTCTAATGGAGGAAGAATATCATCCTTAACTAGTCTTTCTATTCTCTCCCTCGAAATATGGTCTGAACGACAGTGCCATAATTTCGACGACGCATCTTGAGCTCTCTTATACCATCATTTTCAGAGTAACTCTCTGTCACCAGCTGCTTTATCAGCTGGGTAGCATATATCTTTGAAGAGTCAGTGAACTGACTCTTTATTCTATCGAGGTACTCGATAATCGTGTCACACTCTGGGATTGAGCCCATAATTGCAAGCTTAATGGTGTCATTTATCATAGCCAAACATTTCATGTTGACAGTGACCCACTTTCTATGCTCAAAGTCAAAGGACATCTTTTGGGATTCAAAATCCCTTTCTTTAGTTGCTTAATCGGCATCATTCTCTTTTGTCTCCCTCACCGATACCACACACTCAGTGGAACACGGTGAGGTGACTACCCAGTCCACCTCAGCTAAGATGAAAACCAGGTCAAACCTTTTCTTAACATAAAATTAACACAATTTGCATGCCTTGATTCCAACGTTGGTCAAAATCAAAACATACAACTGTTTATATACACTAATTCTACATCACCGTTGGGTAGAAATAGAATTAATGCATAAAATCATTAAAATTCACAACTGTTCTTACACATTAATTCTACATCATCGTTGGGTAGAAATAGAATTAATGCATAAAATCATTAACTTTTACAATTGTTCTCATACACTAATTCTACATCACCGTTGGGCAGAAGTAGAATTAATGCATAAATCATTAAAATTTACATCTGTTCTTATACACTAATTCTACATCACCGTTAGGCAGAAGTAAAATTAATGCATAAATCATTAAAATTATGATATTGTTATTAACAACGTTGGTCAGAAAATAACAATATCATAATCATGTCAAAACTCTTTTTCTCCAATTAAATACCACATTGGTTCAAATAACTGGAGAATAAACATTTTCTTTAGCAGCGGAAAAACTTTCTTTTTCTCCAATTAAATACCACGTTGGTACAAATTAACTGGAGCATAAATAATTTCTTTAGCAGTGAAAAAAATATTCTCAATTTCTTGAATTTTTACCCACAGGGAAAATTTTCTTTTTCTATTTTATTTAAGCCATTAATCAATTTCCAGGAAATAAAACCTTTACTGGAAAATGAAAAAACGAAAAATGACTCAAATTGGTCATCGTTTCTTTCTTCGGCCAAAGAAAAGCAATGAAATTTCTTCATTCCTCACATGGTGCCGCCGCACCTAGGCAGCAACTAACTCTGGGCTCGGCAAGAAGTTGCCACGGCGTCTTCCTTCTTACTTTGGGCTACGGGTTGGCCCGATCATGCTCCATCGTCGGATCGCATCCGACGATCACCCGCAGGCTTCGCGGGGTCAAAACCACGCTCGACCGCGACGGCCGGAAACCCTAGCCTCATTTTCTCTGTCTGCTTCTCTCTCTTCGTTCTGTCTTCGCCGCTCTCTCCTCTCTCAGCGCAGCGAGCACCGAGCGGCGACCGAGCAACTACGGCGGTGGAGCGACCATGGCGTCGTTGCTGACCCCCTCGCCGGCGTGTGTGCTCCCCAACGGGTGAGCACGCCATCCATCGAAGCAGCTCATGGCATGGCGCCTCTGCCGAGCCCCGACGAGCAACCCGCCTCTCGCTCGGCCTTCTTCTCTCTCCGGCCGTGAAGGGCCATCCAGGACGCATTGCAGCGAGGGTTGTCTCCTTTTCCCCTTCTCCGATTTGAGTTGTATCTACTTTCTTTTCTTTTCGCTTGTTCACCCGAAAAGGAGATCCAGGGTTAGGGTTCGGTTGAACCCAATTCGTGTTTCCTTTTGGTTTGATTCGAGATCAGCGAGATTATCCCCTGTTTCCTTTCTTTTCTTTTGAATCTACTTCTTTCTACGGATTCAACCGATTGGGGTTAGGGTTTCGAGATTTGCCCTTTTCTTTTGATTTCTTTTTCTTTTCGGAGTTCATCCGAATGGGTCTCTTCCCCTTCTTTATTCGAGTTAGGGTTAGGGTTTGGTTCAACCCGATCTGTTTTGATTCGAGATCGAGTTGCTAGGGTTCAGTGTTCTTCCCCGAGACTGATTCCTTCCCCTTCTTCCCCTTCCCCTTCTTCTTTTGGGATTAACCCGATTTCCTTAGATCCGTACTGGATCTATTACATTCTTCTTGCCGCTTGCCGGAGAGAACGGCGACACAACATCTTCCCCAAGGCGGTGGCGGTGGTGACCGGTAGACAGTGAGATCCGCCACCCCGGTCTCTCTTTCTTCTTTGCTTTTACCCGGTTAGGGTTAGGGTTACACACTGGCAACCTGGCTCTGATACCAATGTTAGAATCATTGTATACCTTTGTGTAATCGTAGATCAGAGTAGACCTCTTTAGGGTTCATCTATTTCACCCTGGTTGTGCTGCAACCTCACGGACGTCGGTGTCAAGGCAGCTCCGGCTCGGTGACGAGGTCCAGTGGTGATCCCGTGGGCTGCAGAGGCGAGGCAGTGGTGTGGTGGAGCTTCCCGTCGCTGGTAGCACTGCTTTAGATCGGTTTAGGTTTTCTCTGTAGGTGGGTACGGTGGCTCCGTTGAACCTCGTAGCGCGAGCCATGATCCCCACCTCTCTTTTATATGTGCTGTGCGACATGGGCCCACCAACCATATTAGGGTTGGGCTCCCCGATCAGGGAGCAGAGATAAGGGCCCAATAGGCCATTGGGCCTATTGGTGGAGATCAACTAACACGAACTTCTCCCTAAGCCTCTTCATCCTCCTGACGTGCCCATGCGGGTCCGGCCATCTAAGCCACGGGATCATGTCCCCGACGCTCAGCCCGCCGCTCAGCAAGAAGAACTCTTCGATCATCCACTTGAACGCCTCGGGCGTCGCTGGCAAGCCACCAGCAGCCACCGACCTGCCGTCGACGCCGACGGTGTGCTTCTTGCCCAGCACCATGAGCGAGATCACATTGATGGTCACCAGAAACAGTGGTCCATGAGTCGCGACCGGCGCTGCCCAATGGGCGTGCATAAGTCGCAAGAAGATGGCGCGAACCTCCACCGCTCAGACGTGCTCCTGTGACCTCAGCCACGCCACGCTGAACACCTCGGCCTTGCAGAACTTGCGCGCCTGCCGCCAGTACGCGCCGTAGGGCGACCACAGCATGTCGGAGTAGTTGTAGCCGGTGTACCTACTAGTCTCGGTCCTAGGGCGGTCAATGAATGCCAGGTCGTGCATCTTAAGGAAGAACCTAGCCATGTCGATGGAGGAGCCGATGACGACGGGGGGGAGCCGAAGCGTAGGAACATGAGCGGCCCATAGCGCTTGGGGAGCTCGTGGACGGACCGGTGCGGGAGTGGGCCGATCAGGTTCAGGTTGCCGATCATCGGCCATGGTCGAGGGCCCGATGGGAGGTTGTACTTGCGAGAGGGGTTCTGGCGGCAGTGGAGAGTGGATACGAGGAAGAGTGTGATGGCCAGCACGATGCCGAGGAAGAAGGAGGCCCGAGGAGGTAGCTCCATTCGAAACTTAGGATAACGTGTTAATTTGAACTCTTGAAGTGAATTGAGTATTTGTGAAAGAGCATGCAGTCTAGTGGTTATAAGAGCATGAGTAGCACCTTGGGTTCGACTTCTCGTGGGAGCAAGTATCTAGGATAGGTTTTAGGTCCTGGGTTCTTGACTTCTCGTGGGAACGAATATTCTAGGATAGACGATGGGAGCGAATATTTTAGATAGGCGATGTTCCGTCGATAAGGATATCTCGATGATTTGCTGGCCCAATTTTTGAAAGGGCAGCAAAAACTTTGTCATGGGTTCTTAACTTCTCGTGGGAGTGAATATTCTAGGATAGGCGATGGGAGCGAATATTCTGGGATAGGCGATGTTCTGTTGATAAGGATATCTCGATGATTTGTTGGCCCAATTTTTGAAAGGGCAGCAAAAACTTTGTCACGGGTTCTTGACTTCTCGTGAGAGCGAATATTCTAGGATAGGCGACATTCCGTCGATAAGAATATCACGATGATTTGCTGGCCCAATTTTTGAAAGGGCAGCAAAAACTTTGTCACGGGTTCTTTACAAGAAGAGAAAAACAAAACATCAGGCCTAGTGTTTTCACCAGATTTAGACGTGCTAACAAATTAAGCGGTACCTAGCTAGCTGCAAATCTGCATCTACTACTACAGTGCACAGTAATTGTGCGTTGTGACTTGATATGTCGGAAAAGCAACAGAAGTAAGCAAAACGCCCTGAAGCCATCAGACCGCTAGCTTGTTACTTGCGTGTGGTTGCAATTCCACCCGTCCATCTCACCGGTCATGCACCATTGACTGTTACACATTTAACTAGACAAGCCGGACATGCTCCTCGGCCAGGAGCCCTGTCCACGTCGCCCGAAATTCCTCCAGCCGTCTGATCCTGGATCGTGTGGCTGTGATTGCTCGGATCGGATTTCACTAGAATCCGATTCCGCCGCTCCTTAGTGCCTTCCACCGGCTTTCGGCTTCTACTCCAGAGCCAGCCCAGTGAATATATACCGCGGCTTCCGATTTTGGGTCCACATAGTCCGCCTCGTCTCTTCCCCGTCCTCCCCCATTCCTCCCGCGGCTTGCACGGACGCCGCCGCCGCTCGGGCCCCCGCTGCCGCTCCCGCAGCCGCTCACGCCTCCCCTTCCTCTCCTTCTCTCCCACGGCGATGCACCGGCTACGGCCACGCCGCTGGTTGTGGGTGCAGGTGGCGCGCAGCCTCGGGGCGGCGCGGCTGGCGAGGGCGCCGCCGGCGACCGGCGTGGAGGCCGGCGCGGGTGGCTCGGCGACGACCCGCCGCGACCAAGCCCCAGGTAAAGGCGGCCTCCCTCCCTTGCTCCTCCTCTCCTTCACACTCGGGCGCCTGGGTCAACCGGGGATCTGGATGCTTCTCGTCCACCTTTGCTAGGGTTCATCCGGGGCCTCCATGACCGGATCCAGCGCCTCCATGGCCGGATCCGTTAGTTCCCCCACGGGATTTGCGTCTGGCGTTGAGGGATGCGACATGGGGGCATCCTGCAGCGTTATGGGCTCTAGGATCTGTGCTTGTCGGCATATGGCGGCCTGTGCAACCTTGCCCGCTGATTAGCATGAGCGTAGAGCACCGACAGCTCCGGCCTGCCGCGTCGGCGGCTGGTCTAGAACTGCTGCTGCCCGCCGTCTACTCAAGCGTGGCCGCTGTCTGCTCAAGCGTACAGTGGTTGCGGCCATGTCATGTGTACACCTTGATGTGGAGAAAGGTTTGTGCGATCAACACTTGAGCACCCAAGCAGTTTATATGTAGCAGGCAGGTGTTGATTGAATCCAAGATTAAAGATGCCCGGTGCCCTTTGATCTAGGAGAGAGATAAGATATAGTGCGGTGTAAGCTTAGAATGATTACTTATATTAAATTTTATTGTTACAGATTGCTCCATCAAATGTCTCTTAAGGTTGTATTGAAAAATTTAGAAGTAAACTGAAGTAAACTGATAAGAAGCAGGTATTCAGGTGCTTCTTATGATGAAGTAAACTGATATTCGCTGGGCTGGGTTGTATAGAAAAATTTAGAAGGGTACCTGCTGACACATAGAAACAAGTTGAGTTTTATATTAAAAAGTCTGTGTTCTAATTTGCATTTGCACATCCAAAATGATTTCGGTATTAGCAGAATGAAATTTGGGTGTGCATGCTGCTGCTTGGCTTCACTGCTTTCTTTTCAGCTGTATGCCAATTGATGCTTTTATTTGTCGCATGCCAACACTTGGGCTACCGTATGATTTATGTTTGATTTCAGATTGTGCATATGTCTTCAAGTTACTTTAATCAATATTCCATCTATTTTTACTAGATTTGCCACATCCACATGTTCAGTTGACCAAATATTAACTGATTTGTTGTTGCTTATTGACATGGCATATTTACATAATACAGATATAGATGTGCTTGCCCTCTTATTAGTCCTAATGATTATAGTTACAAATATTTGTTTACTCTACACATGGATGTACTGTCTATTAGTCCCTTCTTTTATAAAATGAAACTGCAGTATAGCACCCATTTAGTATTATAATGACCTTCAAAGAAAAGCTGGCTGACAGGTTCATACTTTTTTTGCTTTTCCCCTATTTCCTATATGGAATTTCCCTTTTTCCTTTTAATGTGTTATTTTTAGACCTTACCATCTGCTTGCAGTCACAGCACCTATTGCATGTGCTACCTATAGGATTCAGGTACACTAATCATCCCTCGGCACTCATTACCTTAACAGTACAGGTTTCGTATAGACTATAACTCATTCAGAAACACACATACATAGATTGATGAACCGGTAGCTTCTGACTCAAAACAAAGATGGAGAGTTCACTGGACAGCAGAGCAGCGGTGTGCCCACGTCTCAAGCTAGCCATGTATAATAACCGTGCTCTTGTGCACAGCATCGCTATCAATGTACAAAAGCACCTATTAATGTAATGTAGATCCTCTGCTTTGCACTGTAAATCAGGTGACATAAGCCTATGCCTTTGTTTGTGTTTGTAAAAGCACAGCCATCTCCAATCATGACTCAGACCAGTATCTATACAAATATTTCAGTGTAAGCATAGTAATGCTTTATCTTAACACCGCGTTGTTTCCTTATATATTTGAACTTTTCCATGTGCATGTTACAACCATAATCTATTTAGCCAAAAGTCCAACCATACTACAGCGGCGTTAGGTTTCCTGAATTCACAGCCACAAAGGCTCTTACTGCTAACCGATATGCATATAGGGAGCAATAGGCGATAGTAGTGTAACATTGAGTTAGCCAATATTTGGATAGGGCAAAGACATGCTTTTGGGTTACATGTCGTTCCTTACTGACCGAATCGACGCTATTTGTTTGATGTAGGATCAGCCATTTCAGAATGACATCTTTTATGTAACATGGTTTCGATCTGCTATTTTCCTGTCTATTGCGTATAGGGAGCAATAAGCGATAGTAGTGTAACGTTATCTTTTACTTGCTGTTTGTTTCGTGACCGTATATATTTTTTTTGGGAAATTAGGACAGCCTTTTCTGTGTAGTGTTGCTCCAAATTATAATCTGATTTCTGTCATCTATTGGGTTTCGCCTAAACTATTTCATATGTTGCTGCAGGCACCGTTTTATTTTACGATTCATGCCCTTTGTGTATTGACCTAATTTGCTGTTGCTCTTGCTATTATTATGAGATAATACAGGATCCTCAGTGGATTATTTCGCTCTGCTAGACAGAAGGTGCTACGTCGTGCTCAGTTGGATAGCTGTTCGGTGTTCCTCAAGATCCTCTGTACTTGATTCCTGCTTGCTCTCAGGTAAGAGCGGCTCATCCTTGTATGCACACCTATTCTGCAGAGCAGTGCTTCTTATGATGAGGTAAACTGATATCGGTCTCCTTTCTTTTGGGTTCTACAAACACATTAGAAGGACGCGGTCGTTTCTTACGGCTGTCTGGATATCGACACTGGTTTTAGTTTTGGCTCCGCACGAAGGCTTTGCCAAAAAAAAATTAGATCTGCAAAGTTCCCACCAAAAGTTCTTTTCTCGGCAAACAAATTTTTTATTTGGCAAACCCAGCATTGGCATCATGTTTGATTTATGTTTGATTTATGTTTGATTTTCTACACGAGTAACATAGCCGAGGGCCACTGGTGATGACGAATTTGACATTATAAGTCATAAAAATTATTTTGGCTGCTTTCAAAATTACTTTTTTGCTGTTATACATGGGTTCACTGCTTTCTTTTTCAACTGTATGCCAATTGATGCTTTTGTTTGCCGCATGCCAACACTTGGGGTACCGTATGATTTATGTTTGATTTCCTACACGAGTAACACGGCCAAGGGCCACTGGTGAGGACGAGCTGGACATTATAAGTCATAAAAATTATTTGGACTGCTTTCAAAATTTGTTTTTTGCTGTTATACGTCTAAGGCTCTTACTGCTAACCGATATGCATATAGGGAGCGATAGGTGATAGTAGTGTAACATTGAGTTAGCCAGTATTTGGGTAGGGCAAAGACATGTCTTTGGGTTACATGTCATTCCTTACTGACTGAATCAACGCTATTTGTTTGATGCAGGATCAGTCATTTCAGAATAACATCTTTTATGTAACATGGTTTCAAACTGCTATTTTCCTGTCTATTGCGTATAGTGAGCAATAAGCGATAGTAGTGTAACGTTATCTTTTATTTGCTGTTTGTTTGGTGACCGTATATTTTTTTTTTGGGAAATTAGGACACTCTTTTCTGTATAGTGTTGCTCCAAATTAGAATCTGATTTCTGTCATGTATTGGGTTTCGCCTAAACTATTGCATAGGTTGCTGCACGCACCGTTTTATTTTATGATTCATGCCCTTTGTGTATTGACCTAATTTGCTGTTGCTTTTGCTATTGTTATGAGATAGTACAGGTTCCTCAGCGTGCATCGCTGTCCTGGGTTGGGTTATTTCGCTCTGCTAGACAAAAGGTACTATGTCGTGCTCAGTTGGATAGCTGTGCGGTGTTCCTCAAGATCCTCTGTACTTGATTCCTGCTTGCTCTCAGGTAAGAGCAGCTCATCCTTGTATGCACACCTATTCTGCAAACCAGTGCTTCTTATGATGAAGTAAACTGATATCAGTCTGCTTTCTTTTTGGTTCTGCAAACACATTAGAAGGACGCGGTCGCTTCTTACGGCTGTTTGGATATCGACACTGGTTTTAGTTTTGGCTCCGCACAAAGACTTTGCCAGAAAAAAAAAATTTAGATCTGCAAAATCCCCACCAAAAGTTTTTTTCGCGGAAAATAATTTTTTTTTGGCAAACCCAACATTGGCGTCATGTTTTCTTCCAACTCATCATATATAGCTATTTTGAGGGATATTGCACAGCAATGTTGCTTACCTTATATATCTTTTATACATGAGGTGATACAGGATGGGACACATCTTTATGGTATAGAGATTGAACTGCCATCCAGTGTGCTTCACACCGGCCGCCGCACATTTTTTTTTTGGGTCATCCACATTTAGATGAGGCTTTAGCGTATGAAGCCGCAGCATTCCAAGCTATTGTTGCTTTACAAAGGCTATATGGTTCGGCGGCTGTTGATTATAGTGTGCATGGATTACATATGTATAGAGCTATTGCCCAGCGGCTCCTCCCAATTGCAAATAGGGGTACACAGCTTGCTAGATTGGTAATAGCGGCCTCAGAACACCCAAATGTGCTTTTGCCTGCGCTCGAAGTTTGTGCACGGCTCCTGTTAGATGAGGTCGCGGCTATTCCGCACGGTAGTGCTCTTTAGTGTTTCTAGGCTGTGCCTTCTTAGACTGTCTCTCTGTAATAATTTCTTGCTTCTATTGTAACTACGGCTTCCTAAAGCAGTAAATCAAATTCAATTGTGGAACTATGTTTTCGCGTTTCGTTACTTACATCTTGTTTGCTACTGAAGCCATGGTCGTGCTACCACATTCTGCCATATAGACGCAGATTCCTGAGTTATAGCTGTGTCCAAAATTTTTTACTGCACACCTAATTTGTTCATGCCATTTATGACCATTTACCTTTTTCCGAAGTACCTGCTTCATACCTTTTTCCGTGTTAAAACTCCCATCTCTCTATATTACTCATATTATGTGTCAATCATGTATTTTTTCCCCTAAAAAAAATTATGTTCATGTCTCTTCATAGTAAGATGCACAGCCAGCGAAACCACATGGAGTAGCCGCTTCCTATGGCTGCAGAACAGACATGTATGTAAAATGCACTTTGTTTTAGTCGCCATTTTGTATAAAAGATCTCTGGAACTAATTCCCGAGACCTACATATTTGTCTATATTGGTTAGCCTAACAGTATATGCCTATATATGGCAGTGGAGGCTCCTGTGCATGCAGAGAGCTCTGGTACACCGACATCGGCAGGCCGCCGCGCAACAGCACGTATGTGCCATCAGCTGTTCAGGCCCCCATGTGTACATACAGCGTTAGATTCATGATGTTCCTGTGTTAGCCTTACAATTCTGCTACTCAGGAAACAATACTTCGTGTGCTCTAGAAACATCCAGTCCTGCTGCATGTAGGAAGAAAAGAAGGAAACTGTTAAACCAACATCGCCTTGTCTGGAGAGGTATTTAGACCTACTAGACACACACACACACACTCTCTCTATCTATCTCCTTCCATATCCATATTCCTAAGACCTAGAGTATGTGTACAGGTGCTGCATCTAGGCAAAGTGCTGATCTAGAGTGTGGCCAGTTTGATGAGGCCTTCGTAGAAGCCCTCAAAGGTACTGATTCCATATCTTCACAGCACATGTGCCTTTACTTTTAGCACGGTGCACAGCCCAGGCCAAAAAAAAATAGCTTCTTACTATGCATCTGCCTGTTCCATATCTATGAACCAGTTTCGTATCCTGGAAGATCATATTATGGTCCACCTAATCAGCAATGCTGCAACTGCCGAGCCATTTTTTGGCACGCCGAAAGAGTTGGCAAGGACTCCTAGGGTTCTTTGGGCTCAATTATCTACAACAAGTGATGTAAAGGAGGTAGAGTCGCCATTCCGCGGTTCCTGCCAAGACCTGAGCCTCTAGCAACTCTTGCGAGATCTGACGGTGGTCCTATCTCCAATAGATTTATGAAAAATATCAGGCAGTACAATTGCCTTTTTGCCTTCACTTCAATGGGAGCAAACATAGACCGGTCCATGAATGATGGTGGAGGTCCTCCGGTTTTCAAGATTTGTGGACAAATTCACCACCGCATAGGTTCTTTGCTGCCACCAGATGATGAGCCTGCCAAGTTCATACAACTATATGTGTATGATACATCGCACGAGGTGCAAAATAGAATTGCTTCTTTAGGGCATCATGACGCTAGAGGATCAGATCTAGATCCTGCTATTGTTCAGTCCCTAGCTGCCATGCTTGATCAACACAACTCATTCGCGCAGCAGTTTCGGATGGCGAGGGATCGGTTGGCAGATGATGAAACAGAAGACTTTGTTTTTTCGCATAGTTGGCCCAAGAGATGATGATCCGCCTCAGTACAGCTTACCAACTACAGATCAGCTGGCTATGTCAGTAGTTGGTGATTTTAGTTACGAATCCTTTGAGCGGGATATTATTGTGCAGAAACAAGCAGGAGACCTTCAACAGATTTCTGCTCTGCATCCCGCTTTCATGGCGCTTCAATATCCTTTGTTATTTCCGTATGCTGAGCGCGGTTGGCAAGCTGGCGTTCTGTACGCTGGAGTCATACAGACAAGAGCCAATGCTCATATAAAAGTCACCATGCAGGACTACTGCTACATGTTCCATTATAGGAAAGATGAACCAAATCCGTATCTGTGTTATGGTGCGCTCTCAGGTCAAGCTAAGGTGGATGCTCGGGCCTGTGTAGATGAAAACAGGTTATGGTACATAGTAGAAAACCAAGCTGATATTAGAATGGAAAGTATCCAAGGAATTTGTGATGCAATAAACAGAGGATCCACAGAGGGCAGCGAGATGGGGAAGATGACCGTGCTACCGGCGTCGCACACGGGTGGCAGACGTTACAAGATACAAAATTATCATGATGGGATCGCTATTTGTCGAGAATATGGTCCTCCAGATTTCTTTGTTACTTTCACATGCAATCCTAAATGGCCTGAGATCACTAAGGCCATCTTTGATCCTGGACAAAAGCCAGTAGACAGGAATGATCTGATAGTCAGGGTCTTTAATATGAAATTAGAGGAACTTTTACATGATATCAAAGCTGGTACATCTTTTGGACCCTGCAATGCAAGTACACTCATGTTTATGCATAGTGTCTTGCTATCCTTGCTTCAATACAGTCCTTTCCATTCATACCTACCTGCATGCTGTTTCCTAACAAGCCACTATTTCTTACAAATTCTTAAGATCCCTCTTTTTCCAATGCATTGCTCCACACTGTCGAATTCCAGAAAAGGGGACTGCCACATGCCCATATTATTCTATGGACTTCCACGGATACATCAAGTCCAACCACAGCAATGATTGACAAATATGTCGCTGCAGAGATACCTGATCCAAAAATAGAGCCACTTGGCTATGCTCTCGTCTCCGAACATATGATACATGGTCCTTGTGGTAAAGACAACCCAAAATGTCCCTGCATGAAAAAGAAAAAGTGCTCAAAACATTGTCCCAAGCCATATGAGGCAGGCACTATAGTTAACAAGAATGGTTTTGCAGTGTACAAGAGACGAACAAATGCACTTTTTGTTAAGAAAGGAGGCTTCCAGATGGATAATAGATGAGTTGTCCCATATAATATGTTGCTGCTCAAAAAGTACCAGGCACATATAAATGTTGATTGGTGCAATAAAACGACCTTCATCAAGTACCTCTTCAAATATGTAACCAAGGGAGCTGATTGTAGCAAAGCTTACCTACAGAGGGTTAAGAAAGGCTAGCCAGCACCATATGATGATGAAACAAACACTATAAATGAGGTAAAAGAATACCTCGATTGCAGATATATCTGTGAACAAGATGCATGCTGGAGAATATTTGGATATGACATCCACAGACACCACCCAGCGGTAGAGAGAATGCCTGTCCACCTTCCAAACAAAAATTTTGTAAGCTTTAGTGCAAGGACCAAAATGGAGAAATTAGTATCAGCAGAGTTTTTGAGAAGAACAATGTTGACTCAGTGGTTTAAGTGTAATGCGATTTTCCCTGAAGCTAGAGCGCTCACTTATCCGCAATTTCCCTCTAGATGGTTATGGGATCAAAGAGACAGGAAATGGCATAAACGGAAGCAAAAGTTTGGTAAAATAGGCAGGCTCCATTATGTACACCCATCGGCTGGTGAGCAGTACTACCTTCGCATGTTGCTTCTAATAGTGAAAGGTGCCACCAGCTATGAAAACCTTAGATTTCATAATGGAACATATCATCACACTTTCAAAGAGGCATGCCGATCATATGGTCTCCTTGGTGATGACCAAGAGTAGTATAATGCCTTTGATGAGTCGGCTGCTTGGGCTACTTCGCACAGCTACGAAGCTTGTTCGTTACCATGATCCTGTTCTGTGAGGTAGGTGACGAAAAGAGTTTCTTTGAAAAAGTATGGCGCCATCTATCTGATGATATTATCTATCAATATAGAGATATGGTCGGTGATCCAAACTATGCAGTACCTGATTCACAAACTAGAGATTTTCTTCTCGATGAGCTAGCCATTTTATTCTCCCAGAGTGGTAAGAACATAGTTGACTACAATCTGCCTCCAAAGACCCATTCTGAATATCCTATTCTACACAATCGTCTGGTTGAAGAGGAACTATCACATCCCTCGGATCCATCCATTGATCTGAATAATCCAACTATTTCTCTCAACGAAGATCAGGCAAATGCTTTCAACACAATAGTCCAGAGAGTTGAACAAAACCAGCCTGGATTCTTCTTTGTTTCAGGATACGGAGGCACCGGTAAAACATACTTATGGAATAGAATGGTTGGATATCTTAGAGCAAAGAATAAGATTGTACTGACCGTGGCTTCCTCGGGTGTAGCGGCACTGCTGCTCCAAGGAGGTCGTACAGCTCACTCAAGGTTCAAAATTCCTTGTGAGGTAGAAGAGGATACAGTCTGCGATGTTAGTAGGGGCACAATGCTTTCTAAGCTTATTGAGCTCACAAGCTTGGTCATCTGGGATGAGGCCCTCATGGCTAATAGGAGATGCTTCGAGGCCTTAGACCGCACATTCAGAGATATTGAAAAAGCCAAAAGCCCAGAAGCTGCTCATACACCATTTGGTGGAAAAGTTGTTGTTCTAGGAGGGGACCTCAGACAAATCTTACCTGTGGTTGAAGGTGGTACCAAAGAAGATATCATTAGCTCCACTATCATCAGGTCTCGGTTATGGCCCCATGTTGAAATCCTGAGTCTAAAACAGAATATGCGATTAGTATGTTCACCAGAGGATCCTTCTAAACAGCAGGAGGTGGCAGCATTTAGTAGGTGGATATTGGACATCGGTGAAGGCAAAATACCATGCACGGCTAGAGACGGAGACGACGAACCAAGCTGGATTACAGTACCACAGCAATTGCTTATCACTCCTGATGAGGACAGACTTGCAGCTATTGTCCACTCAGTTTATCCTAACTTTCGTGCCAGATACAAAGACCCTGTATACTTATCACAGAGAGCTATACTAGCTCCAACAAATGAACTGACAGATACTGTTAATGATTACATGATCCCCTTAGTCCCTGGTACAGAGAAGGAATGCCTGAGCTCAGATACTATTGACAAATCCACCGCTCAACAAGAAGCATATGACCTCTTATACCCAATTGAGTTCTTAAACTCAATCAGTGGTAATAATTTCCCACAGCATAAAATCATTCTGAAACCAGGAATCCCAATAATGTTACTGCGCAATCTCAACCAAAGGGCTGGTCTTTGCAATGGTACAAGACTGATCGTCACTTCGGTTGGAGAATGGACAATTGAAGCTAAGATTATGAATGGGCGACAGGCGAATCAAGCCTTCGCTATACCTCGCATGACCTTAACTTTAAAAAGTAACAAATGGCCATTTGTTCTACAGCGTCGACAATATCCTATCAGAGTATGCTACGCTATGACAATCAACAAGAGCCAGGGACAAACTCTCTCAGCTGTTGGCGTCTACCTCAAAAAGCCTATTTTTCACATGGACAGCTATACGTTGTTGTATCACGTGCAACTACAAAGCAAGGTCTAAAGATATACATCGAAGATGACGATGGAAAAGCTACCAATGAGACCAAGAATGTAGTCTACAGAGAAGTGCTTCAGTATTTAGACTAGATAAAAGATGAAACCAGCCATACCTATGCATTTCACCTACCAAACTCCACCTGCTTTCAGTAGTATTTTGCTTCATGTTTGCATCTGTTAAGCCCATGATAATTTAAGTAGTGTACCTATATATGTACATTTCGTTGCAGCAGGCCTGCGTGCCTACCATAGCCAAAATTTGGCCTGTATAGATGCTTTTGAAAATCCTTCCACAGAGGGATTTAGGTAGTGCTGTCAATATGTACATGAATGCAGCGTCTGCACTCTTTTTGGTAAACTAAGAAATGAAACAGTGGTTGTTTATCCAAAACGGAAAAAGCGAGCAACCTTCTATTTCTGCTATTTTAAAACTGCCTCCATACCAAAAATAACACTTCCTTTCATACATACCAGGTACACCATGCAGCAGCCAAGGTTTCTCAGCAATCTGCAGAAAGGTCGCCACGCACAAGGCATAGCTACTCGAGTCATCAGAAAATGGACACACTATGAAAACATGGGCCAGGGACCACCTCTGTATGTTGGCATGGTTCTAGCAGACGCACGGGTACCTTCCTGACTTGGTCAAAACCATCTTAAATTAGTTAGCCTTCAAAAAATAGAATCAATACTATACCTTCTGCTATTACATGTTCATATTGATAGCATCTAATCAGTTCATTGCGTATTTACAATTACAGGGACACGCCATGTATGCAGAGATTTCAAATGACCTGATCAAATCCAAGGCATCTCTTTTTGAAGTTGGAAAGGTTTATATTATCAAGAAATTTCTTGTTGACAGTGCCAGGAAAAGCTACAGGCCAGTTGACAAAGATCTGATGATAGAGATGGCAGCCCAAACGACTGTTGAGGTTGTTCAAAACCCTCCACAAACAATTCCTGAATACATTTATAGGATCACTCAGTTCCTAGCCATAAAACCAACACGAATGGTCTACAACTTAACAGGTTCGTTGTAGATCCAGAATATGTTGCAGATAAACTCTATCTTCACTTTCAGTTTGTTATTTTCTTGTTAACTTGTGCTGTTGACCTCTAAATTTTTAAGATGTCATTGGTTACCTCGTCAAGTATGAAGCAACGCATACATTTGTGCCAAAGAACCAAGAACAGCACGTTCCTGCTCTCTGTTGATCTTACTAATGATTCATGCAAGAGCACAAAATACAAACAATACCAGGTCAAGGCTGTTTTAGCAAGACCACCAAAACAGTCTGAAACAGACATTATTTCCATGTCTCAGTATGAAGAAGAGAAGCCAACAAATGCCTCTACAGATACTGATAGTCCACAACATCTAAGTGAGGTGCTTCTGATTGAGTCAGGAACACAACAGGTAACCAGATTTTATACAAGCTTATTCCATTATGCTAATGTTTATAAACATACTGCCATATTTGTCTTGCTATGACATGAAACAGACTCCAGTACCAGCTCTTGACACTGATAAAGAGACCTGTAAAGATGATGATACCAGGTGCTCTAAAAAAATACTCTAACCAGCAATTTTGTATGATCCATACACGACAAGCTTTAGTCAATAGATTTATCTAATAATACTTCATTCTTTGTCTCTGTAAGATCGTCGGCAGTTCATCCCGGTGCTCAGAGGAACCTATTCGGCCACCCAGATTCGACGAACAAGGTCAGCTACATTGATGTATATAATTCAAGATTCCATGCATATCATAGTGACACAAGGCTCTAACATATTAATGATACAAGTTACAGCATGATGATGTTCAGAACGATGAAGAAGACCAAACCATCAACGACCTTAAGAGACTTGCTGCACAGGATGCTTCATCGTCGAAGACAAAATCCAAGAAGTATGCTGCAAACACTAATATGCTTCACATATTTATAGACCCATACCACTTCTCTTCGTTTACTGACTCTTAAAAAAATACAGAGCAAGGTCTCTCTCTAAAGGCCGCGCTGGAAAGAATGGTTCCCACAGCTAAAATACCTTTCTGATACCACTAAGGTAACCTTATACATCGACTACACGCAAAGTACATTTATGAGAACAAAGTTCGGCTCGATCCATCAATTCACTTCAGATAACACACAAAACAGCCTCAACAAGAAATTTTGCATTGTTCATTTACACTAACTAAAGAAAATTTTCCCAAACAGGTAATGTCGATGATGTAACCGAATGCTCCAGGCTTTTGCTCCAAACTCTTGTTGTCTGTAGTATGAAACTGTGTTCCAGTGCTTTGTAGTCCCATGAACTTAGAAAGGTGCTTGTTCCCTGTACAGTTCCCAGGCTTCTTTCATATGGTAGAATATTCGCCAAGACTAAAACAGTTCAACTCCAAACTTAAAATAGGAGCCCCTTCCCTGTATAATTCTCAGCCTCCTTTTATATTCTATGGTTGTAGTCACCATCAGCTCAGTTTATCTCCGCTTAAACTATGGCATGTTATAAACATGTGAACTTCCTGTAATGGCAAACACATCAGGCTGAACCACAGATTATGTAGTGTTAAACTATTTCCTGTACTCTCATCTGTCCTGCAGCTTGTACTTAATCAACTGATCAGTTATTTACACATACAACTCTTTACTAATTTGCGGTTATGAAACTTGTGTCGCTGCAAACAATGCTCCACCACAGCTACCCCAAAGCGCAACTCCGAAGCTGATGAATCCAGTTAGGAAACAAACAGCGCCAGCGGCTGCCTCTGAAGACAAGCGCACACGCCAAAACAGTTGCTCCAACAGAGTCTGTTAGCCCAGAAGTTTATCAACTACCGCCTCTAATTATTGTAATTTTTATATAGCCCGTATGTACTGTGATAGCAGCAAATACTCTTGTAATATAGATACCTTTTAACCTTCAATGTACTAATGGACCGCCATCCTATATCCATATTTAGACTTCTATCTCGCACAAATACACTGACTTTAGATCCCTGCAATTGGTTGCCGCGACACCTCACGGGCGCGCGAATGCGCGCGCCCCAGATACTAGTGTGTACATATATGTAGCTCTGAAAAGTCGCAACCGGACTGCAGTTGCAGCTTCAACACTGCAGAAAGGTCAATTGCATGTTAAGCTTTTCACAAAGGCTTGCTACAACCAAGATAAGTATGGCAAGCCACTAAGGACGTGATTGGTAGACTGTTTTGGCGCAGCCAAGGTGACGGAATGTAGCATCTTTACTTTTTCTTCGCGTTTGGTTGGCTGTTCTTCTTGTCTGGCCTAGTTCAACTCGTGCAAAGGAGCCCCCATAACCACCACCGTCTGGTTCTTTTGGTCATGTTGGTGTCATCATCTACAGAGGCACAGAGCTTCTAACCAAGGAGTGAGTCTTCTCGTCCTCGTACACAAAGTCTCAACCGCTCTACGCTAAGTTCAGAGGGCTGACATCGCCAATTTGATTCTTGGAGCGACATAATTTGTTTCAAATTTTCTTCATCATTAAAAATCGATGTGCAACTTTCATCATTGACAAGGAAAACGATACAATTTGGTGAGTTCTGATTTGGTCAAGAAGCTTAGCTTGACCACACAGGCGCATCTACATCCATACTATATTCAGTGGCTCAAAGTAAGAGTCTCGTGAGGACCTCTCATCAGTTAGCCAACTTAAACCATGTGTGATCCGCTCAACCAATACAGTTTAATCCCACTAATCGTGGGAGCATGTGCCGCAAGCTCCACTAGTGCAAAAACCACAAGATCAAGTCCCAGGAGTCCGTACACACTAACCACGCATCGTGGACCAACTTACATGAAGAATAAACACATCTAGAATAGAAGACACACATTTTGGCTGTTAATTTTAACTTATTTCGATCATATAAACAGCTTATAAGATGTACCATGACCCACGAGGATATGACTTGCAAGTTTCTCAGAGTTATAAGTTTGTATTTTAATTTAAACATTGTGCGGCAGCACGAGAACTCTGTTTATACGAATATCTTCCGAGAAAGGTCGTCCTTTTTACCACTGATACTACAACAGCATCGTCAATTTACATAGCTCATTATATATTCACCTATTCATCTCTAATTTTATTTCTGTAGCCTCACAATAATAACCAAAGTAATTTCTGTAGCCTAACAATAATAACCAAAGTAATTTCTGTAGCCTAACACTAACAATAACCAACAAGTACGTGGATCCTTCACCGATGGCAAAAGGCCCGGAAGAGGATGGATCAAACCGCGCGTGGCCCGGCCCGGATGGATTGCTGGGCCAGGAAAGCACCTCGTACTGGACCAGGAGGGAACATGGACGCCCGTGTTCTTTCTTTCACTGTTATTAAGGGCAAGGCGGACGAGGCCTATAATTGGACGCGCTAGGGTTTCCATCTTCCTCTCGCCGCCGACGCATCCAAACCCAAATCAAGCCACCGCCCTCTCCTACTCCTCCCCTTGCCTCCTACACTCCTCCCCTTGCGGCGCGGCGGCGAGCACCAGCAGCAGCAGCGCGCCACGATGAGGCCGATCCTGATGAAGGGCCACGAGCGCCCACTCACGTTCCTGCGCTACAACCGCGACGGGGACCTGCTCTTCTCCTGCGCCAAGGACCACACCCCCACGGTCTGGTACGCCGACAACGGCGACCGCCTCGGCACCTACCGGGGCCACAACGGCGCCGTCTGGACCTGCGACGTCTCCCGCGACTCGGCGCGCCTCATCACCGGATCCGCCGACCAGACCGCCAAGCTCTGGGAGGTCAGCACGGGAAGGAGCTCTTCAGCTTCCGCTTCGACGCGCCCGCCAGGTCCGTCGAGTTCGCCATTGGGGACGCGCTCGCCGTCGTCACCACCGACAACTTCATGGACCACGTCCCCACCGTCCAGGTCAAACGCATCGCCGAGGACATCGACGATCGTTAGTGCTTTGCCTTCTCAAGAACGCTTCGTTTATGCCTCCTCTGTTGTTTTTGTTTGAATGGCAAGCCTGCACCCTTGACCTTGAGATCCTGTGTGTGTATGCAGAGACGGAGGAGTCTGCACTCGTCATCACCGGCATCAAGGGAAGGATCAACAGGGCCGTTTGGGGGCCGCTGAACAGGACCATCATCACTGCCGGGGAGGATGCCACCATTCGCATCTGGGACTCAGAGGTTAGGATAGCATGCTTTTATGTGACTGCAAATAGTACTGATGGCCGTTACAATTTGGTTATCTAGCCCTAAGAATGCCCCCATCAATTGCTTGTTGGTATGGGACTATGGGCATCTGGTGGTGATAATATGCAATGTTTTTTTTTCCTCCTGATCAGTCATGATAGCAGTTTAGTTTGTTAATATGTTTATTTGTATTCTTAGAAGTTTATAATGCCAAAATTCACTTTACTTTTATCAGCTTAGTGAACTAAGACAACAACCAACTAATATGCTAGTACTACTAGTATTTGACTATTTGCAGAACTGGACTCGACCTTTCTGATTACTGCTTCCAGTGTTACTCTAGTCTATCCAACAAGTCATGATAATTTATTTAATGCACCATTTGCCCAAAGGGGGAATAAGGAAACCGAAAGGGGGTGTGGGATTCAAAATGAACTCTGCTGTGCTTTTATAAATCCATGCTGCTCTTTCTCTGCCTTTTTCTGCACTGCTAAAATTTAAAGAAGTTAATTGTTTCTCCATAACAATGGAGACTTTTTTTCACATCACTCATGGGATGCTCTTTGAATTGTATGCAGACTGGACAACTGCTGAAAGAGTCTGATAAAGAATCTGGACATCAGAAGACCATCACATCTTTGTCAAAATCCTTAGATTGGTCACATTTCATTACTGGCTCCTTGGATAAATCTGCGAAGGTTAGCATTTGTTCAAGTTGACTGTCATAAAGATATTTATGGTTTCCCTGACATTCAATTTTCCATGCATAGCTATGGGATACAAGAACGCTAACCCTGATCAAGACGTATGTCACAGAGAGACCAGTTAATGCTGTTGACATCTCTCCCACTCATGATACGGTATGTTCCTCTTCACAAACTTATTTATACACGTCTTTTATAAAGACCAGGTTGTGTGAACTGCTAGACCTAATTTGTTTGGCAGTTGGGTTTCATAGTTCGTATAGTGGATGGTTATATAGCTGGTATTGCAAAGTGGCCCTTTGTCTGATTTAGTGCATTTTTATGTAATCATAGGTCATGATTTTGTATATATTTAACTATGCTGTCAGCAATTGCATCTTTTGCTGTGTACACAGCAAAAGATGCAATAAATAGGAAACTAGAGTTGTGGCAGTAGACCCTTGAGTCTAAAGGTTTTAGATTAATCAGAACTAAAACTGAATACATGAGATGTGACTTTGGCGGAGCTGCACAGGAGGAGGGAGATGTGAGTTTGGAAGGTCAAGTAGTGCCTAAGAAGGATACCTTTCGTTATCTAGCATCGATGTTACAGAGAGATGGGGACATTGATGTGGATGTTAGCCATAGAATCAAAGCAGGGTGGATCAAGTGGCGACAAGCTTCTAGCGTTCTTTGTGACAAGAGGGTACCACAAAAGCTAAAAGGCAAGTTTTATAGAACGGCGATTAGACCGGCTATGTTGTATGGAGCAGAATGTTGGCCTACAGAGATTCGTCATGTTCCACAACTGAGTGTTCCAGAAATGCGTATGTTGCGATGGATTTGTGGTCACACGAGAATGGATCGAGTTAGGAACGATGATATACGTGACCGCCTAGGGGTAGCACCAATTGAAGAAAAGCTTGTCCAACATCGGTTGAGGTGGTTTGGCCATGTCCAAAGGAGACCATTAGAGGCACCAGTGCATTGTGGAGTCCTAAGCCAAGCTAATAATGTGAGGAGAGGTAGAGGTAGACCGAAATTGACATGGGGGGAGGCAATAAAAAGAGATTTGAAAGCTTGGGATATACCTAGAGATCTATGTTTGAATAGGAGTGCTTGGAAAGCAGCTGTTGATGTGCCTGAACCGTGACTAGGGGCTCTTGGTGGGTTTCAACTCTAGCCTACCCCAACTTGTTTGGGACTGACAGGCTTTGTTGTTGTTGTTGTAAGCCTTTAACCTATGGCTTATGCATTGTGTTAGCTGCTGTGGTTTTTTTTGTATTGACACTAGAACACTATTTATCATGTTTTTTTTGAGCCATAGGTAAATGCATTGTGGTTATGGTCTACATATGATGCTGAGCCCAGTGGTACCATCATCTGTGTTCCATTTTCCTAAGATTTTCGTTTCTGTTTTTAGGTGGTTCTAGGAGGTGGTCAGGATGCAATGAATGTGACTATGACAGACCGCCGTGCTGGTAAATTCGAGGCTAAATTCTATCACAAGGTAATTTCTTTTCCAGCTAATAAAGTATCAAGCTATTGCTCCTTTTGTGTTACTTCATTGCTAACTCTGTATGCTTACAATATTTGAACTGTTCTGATTAAAACTTGCTCTCTTTTAGATTTTGCAAGAGGAAATTGGTGGTGTTAAAGGACATTTTGGGCCAATTAATGCTTTGGCATTTAATCCTGATGGGCGGAGGTAATATTTTTTTTATCTGACAGCACTTGTCTTTTTTTAGTCATTGTTGTTATTATCAACAATTGGCCACTTCTCGTTGTCTAAGGTTATGTCCATATTTGGTGTTTTTTACTGTATATGCTCAATGATTCAGCCATGGTAAATCATGGTAATATACGCTATTCTGATCCACACAAGGATGCCATAAGCTTTTCTGAGAGCAGGATTTTTGTTGCTATGTGTAATTTTCATTAGTATTTACCTTTTTTAAATTTACTTTCTCTGAAAAAACTCTTTCAAGCCCATTTGTGTGGCATTGTAACAACCAGTCTTGATTTGCCATTTTATCTCACTTTTCTTTAACTTAGTCTGCTTAAGTATTTTAGACCTCTATATTGACAAGTCTTTTTTCTGTAAACATAATTTATCTTTTACATATGTCTACGACATATCTGGTTTTCAATGATTTCTGAAGCTATTTATTTTTACCTTGTATACGGCTGAATGTCTCCTCTTCAGCCATTCTACATTTATATGTAGCTCAGTGATTGTAGCCAATCACATTGGCAATATATGCTATGCTGACCTCAGTTTGATGAACATTTTTACTATGAGAGCTGCATTCTGCCCACAGTAGCTTTACCATTTATCTGGCCTTTAAAATGTTTTTTTTAATTATTGTATGTATGCATCTTTGGGATCTGATAGCTCAATGATTTCAACCAGGCACTCTGGTTATATACGCTATTCTGATTGCTGCTGTTGAAAAAAATATTATTCATGAGAGCTACCGATGTACCCAATCAACATGCATTGTAGATACTTTTTTCTCTTATGTTCTGAAGTTGTTTTTTTTAGTAAAAGGGTTTGTTTCCCTAATTCTGTACATCTTCTTTCTTTAATCTTATTAGCTTTTCAAGTGGTGGTGAAGATGGATATGTAAGGCTGCATCATTTTGATTCCGACTACTTCAGCATCAAGATGTAGATAAGAACACCAGACTAATCCGAGGTAATTCTTCAGCTGCCAGCTATTCGTGAAGATTGGTTTGTTAATTTTGTTATCGCTTGCTACCTATGTGTACTGTTGAACTATGTAATGGTTTAGATAATTGGCAGTAGGGAAATTATCTTTCCCTGTATTAGTAAATAAATATATATAGCATATTGTTTCTTGCAATCAAACCTTGTAGTTTGACTGTTTTTAGGTCAGTGTTTGGGTTATTATACACATGTCAGCTGCATCTCTCGTCTGTTCTAACAAATGACAACACTGAAATATCAATTATATCTATCCTAAGAATTCCATTTGTTGCATTCAGATTCAAACCCCTGTTGCGCTGGTTTTTAGGTCGTGTTTGTTTTAACGTTAATCCTGTAATTCGTTTTCAGGCTGTTTGAGGCCCAACTAGTTCAATTTCTTGATTCAGATGCTGCTGGTTGACCATGACGCATGCAGAGCAGGCTCAGATCCTAGGTAGTGGCAGTCTGTTGCTTGTTAGACGAAGTTGCTCTGGAGAAGCAGCTTTTTGTTCTGCTTGAGGAATTTGTACACACTTGGCAATGAAAAGATCCTTTGAACTGAGTTGTCATTCTCGCTCCATGGTTTCCAATTTTGCTTCGATTTGTATTCTCTGTTCGTCAAAATCTTCCAATACGTTACAATTTCACAATCCGTGTTTTTTCTCTCTCTACATATGAGGCTGTATATTACTGAATTGGCTAAACCTACTACATCCCCCATCCATTTCGTGACTGGACGATCAAGTTCGTGAGCAGCTTGACTGTTATGTCTAGAGTTCGTTCCTTCCTTCCCAGACGGAACACTCATGTGCTCCTCTTGTGGCTTTAGCCTATTTGGATGGTGCTGAGAACTCAAAACCGGTCGCCAGATGTCCTGCTGGACTCTGGTGCCTATCTAGATTGATAGAAGTTAATTTTAAGGCTTCATTGCGACAAAGACATCTTCTACCATTGACGAAAATTGGCCATAAACATGTTGAAGACTCGAAATCATGTGGGTAAATTCAAATATGACAATGGAAATGGTCAGGGTATCTGATCGTTTCGGACGCCCGTTGCCGTGGGCCACGACGGCATGAACGGCCCGACTATCCCGGATGCCTCCTTCGATAGCTATTTGATAAAAAAAAAGGTTTGGCTGTCTTCTTCATTCCCTAGCATAACCGTTTCCCCATTCGTATTGGCCGCATGCGCCTCGGCGTTTTCCACCCCCACACCACGGGCGCCCCGCCTCCTGCTTTTGCCGTGCCGCCCTGCTGCTCCTGTTCCTCTTCCGCGTGCCCGTCCCGCCGTTGCTCCTGCTCATGTTTCGCGCACCCACCTCGCCCGACGATGCTGACAGGCACCACCAGCGCAAGGAGAAGCGCTAGGTCATGGCGTGGAAGCCCTTCGGCCTTGCCTCCTGCTACGGCTACGGCGCGCTGGCGCCCTGATGCAGACAGTGGAGGAGGTCGCACCGGGATACGATGCATGTTGCAAGTGTGGAATTCAAATATTTCAGTTGTTTTAGAGGTATATTACAAATGTTTCATATGGATGTTGCAAAAGTAGATCGGGATGTTGCATATGTTGCAATAGTTGTACACATATATTGCAAGCGTCTGTCCCCAATGTTTCATCTGTTTTTTAGACGTATGTTGCAAGTGTGTTTATCTTGATGTTGCATGTTTCACACATATGTTGCAAATGTTTTATCTGCATGTTGCATATGTTAACAATTGTTTTCAAGTGTTTTTTTGTGTTTTAGACGCATGTTTCAAGTGTTTCTTCTGTCTTCAAACGTATGTTGTAAGTGTTGCATCTGAATGTTTCAAAAGTAGATCGGGTGTTGTACATCGGATGCACGTGGGAAGCGGAAATGGGCACCAGCGGTCCCCACGTGCGCAGGCCCCCGGGTGGGTGCGTGAAAAGTAGTCACGAGCGGGGGCACGAAGTGCAAGCCCGGGGAAACGAATCGGCCCGATCCACGGTACCGTCCGACGGATCAATATCCAATCGGACGTCCGGTCGCCAGCAATTCCGACATGACAAAAGCCCGTGGATATATACTTGGAGTCGATGGATGACGCAGGCATCATTCCTTTTATGCTTTGCCTTTTTTTTTGACATGGAAGTAATATCCATTACTCATAAACCAATGCCAAATCCTTGGCTACAAGCGACCGAATACAAAACGGAATACTATCCAAAATTGGATTAGTACCCTGACTCAAACTTGCCCTTATGACAAAGGCAAAGCACAATACACCAAACAAAAGCTAGGCCTCTCTCTCCTCACTGAACTTCCTGCAGGTGCCCACTCTTGCTCCGAAATAAATAAATAATACTAAAATCTTTTGCATGCATGCATGGCACACACGAGGCAATCATTTTAGTGGCCCTTGATCAATCGCGCATATCTCTCGTGCAATAGTACTATCTACTATATTTTTGTGGAATTTTTGCTGCCGCTCCTGCTCTTGTTGTGTGTGTGGTGGTGGTTTATTTGGGCTGGTAGGACAACTTGTTTTCATATTTTGTCGTATCAATTTAAAAGCTGTCGTTGTCGAAGGGACAGACATGTTTTTTTTTTTTTTGGATTTGGGGACAGCCACGTGTTAATCGGATTGTTCTCGTGGCTCTTTGGAATATGGGGACGACAGCAGCTGCCACATCAAAAGCAACGTGGTTACTCCATCCATCCATACAGCTTCATTGGTTGATTTTCAACCAAAAGTGAAACCAACCAACCAATGATTTTTTCTCACTCAAAAACCAAAGACCAAAATTCAAATTCAAACCAAAGACCAATAAAACAAAATGAACAGGCCCATAGTGTTTTGTCGAGGGCTAAGCACTTTTTCCCTGACAGCGGCTTCTGCCTTGTACGGAGTAGAAAATAAAGTCCATTGATCAGCAATGCGGTCGCAGCAAAAAAAAATAGTAGGTTAAAAAATACAACATTATATTTAATAAACTCTTTTTATGGAGGAAGGAGTCTGGTTCTATATAAATTTGCTGGCCTCTACTAGTTCAGAAAAGGTGTCTATAGGACTATACCCTGCTATGGGCGTCAATACGGTCTCTACACAAATTCTGCCGATGTTTATATAAAATGAAAACAGTAAATTACTAAATTATGAAATGTTTTCATACTGTAATTCATTGTATGCTCAATCCAAATATTCTGTCCCAAAAGATGGAGTTCTAGAATGGTGCTCAATCAAACTATCTTAAATTTGACTACAAGGCATTAATACTTATCATATTGTATAAGATCATTAAATTTGTTATGTACTATATTTTCATTATATAGTTATTTAGAGTCTTAAATGTGTATACTATTTTGTATAAATTCAACTGAACTTAAACTAGTTTGACTCTAACCAAACTCAGAATTACATCCTTTCTAGGACGGAGGTAATATAAGCTAATGGCCAAAGTTAGAGAGTTAGAGGTTTCATTGCACGAGTTTTTCTCCGACATATATATACTCACACACAGATAAAAAGAAGAGTATCATGTGATGGATCGGTTAATTTGAGGGGCTGGAACTCTCGGTTCTCTCGATAATGTGCAATTACCTGATCACGTGGTACCAATCTAGACTTTGGTGAACTAAGATCTTGTTTGGAGAAAGCAAAGCAAAGACTCTCGGCCATATATTGTCCCCGTAATATAATATGCTAGCGATACCAAGTATCCACTCTATTCATAAAAAAATATACAACTATAAGAGGATTTGTATAAGTTAAACTAGTTTAACTTTGATCAAATTTATAATGAATATTATTAACATTTATGTCTTCAACTAGCCAACTAGATTTACTAAGAAAATAATATTTTATAATTAATTTAATGGTACTTATTTTGTACCATAAATATTAGTGCTTTTTTATATAGTTTTGGTCAAACTTTAGGGGGTGTTTGGCACAGCTCCTCTTGAAGGGGCTTCTCCAGATGAGCCAGAGCCATTTTGAACGAGCCACACGGTTCCGGCTCCTCTGCTTTTTAGTGAAAAACGGTTCCTCTAGAAAACGTTTGGCAGGACTCATCCGTAGGAGCCAGAGCCGGAGCCAGAGAGAAGCCTCACCAAACAGACCCTTAAATTGTTTGACTTCTTAAAAGTGAGAATCGTATCTTTTCATGGCCGAAGAAGTACTACTTATTTGCTCGCTACCTGAGCTAGGTCCTAGTAATAATTCAGTGGCTATTATTGGATTAATTCTTAATGAAATCGCCTCTCACATTGTTTTCTGAAACGATAATTTGAACCAACCTTCTCCAATTCCTTGGCCGCACAATGCCGTATTCAGCACTTCAGCTACCGTGCGAACTAATAACAAGCTTATTCCACGGACGGTACTTGTACCATTGTACGTACTGCCGGACGTAACAGTGGCGTACTTTCTCAAATTGCTTGCTAGCAATGCCGTAAGCATGTTGTTGTCTGACTTTCTACGTGTTCCATGCAAGCATTTTCTAGTTTCTGCGTGTTTGTTTGACCGTGACAGGATGTGCATCGATCCATGTTCTGCTATTTGACCTGTGGATCTGTTCTTCTTCTTTCTTTATTTTTCACAAAAAAAAAACTTATCAGCCCAAGGCTCTATATTCGTTCTTTATTATGGCTTTAGGACGGGCAGATCCAGGGGAGTTTATCATCCTGGCAATTTTTACAAATGAGATCCTCTACAGTCGATATCTACGCCTTCATCACCTGCAGGTGGGCCCATCTATCAGTGACAAACACACACCGTATAGTGGACTGCAGAGGAACTATTCTGCGCTAGCTGCAACTGCATCTACATCTGCGTTACATCCTTGTCTTTCTGTACAATAACGAATTAACGATGCAAGATCTACCAACTGGTCCGAGCTTCAACAGTTTAGCTGGCCACGTGCACACTCGATCAGAACGGAGGACTCTCTGACGCTGTCACGCCATGACTTGAAGCAAAGAAAAACTTTGGATCGGCATGCTTC